CCGTGTGGTTCTGTTCGTGGGTGCTGTAGAGAAGGCACTGTGTAGAGACAGAGACACTGCTGTGGCTGTGGCAGGTGTGGGGAGCTTGATGTCTGTGCCGTGTGGTTCTTTTCGTGGCTGTGGCAGGTGTGGGGAGGTTGATGTCTGTGCCGTGTGGTTCTGTTCGTGGCTGTGGCAGGTGTGGGGAGGTTGACGTCTATGCCGTGTGGTTCTGTTCGTGGGTGCTGTAGAGAAGGTACTGTCTAGAGACAGAGACGCTGCTGTGGCAGGTGTGGGGAGGTTGACGTCTGTGCCGTGTGGTTCTGTTCGTGGCTGTGGCAGGTGTGGGGAGGTTGACGTCTGTGCCGTGTGGTTCTGTTCGTGGCTGTGGCAGGTGTGGGGAGGTTGACGTCTGTGCTGTGTGGTTCTGTTTGTGGCTGTGGCAGGTGTGGGTATAAAGGGCACGGGGACACTTTTGGTGGTGTCAGTTCTGTCAGCCGCCAGCTCGTGCTGCTTTACATTCGGGCTGGTGTCGTGTGTCACTCACACCTCAACAGAGCTTGGGGAGCTGCCGAGATGGGGATCCTGCTGGAGACAGGTTCGGCAGATCCGTGTTTGGAGGGTTTGTGTCACTGGCCTCACAGAGCGGTGACAGTCGCAGACTCCATGTTTGGAGGCGCATCGTGAAAGTGCCGGGCGCATTGGCGCTGCTGCGTGCGCTGGGTGCCGGGCCTGCAGACCCGGGTGCTTCAAAGGCCCTGCTCAGAACACAGGGCACTGCTTTCGTCCTCATTCGGTTCTCTGGTCCTCGGGAGTGGATTTGGGGGCAGCGGGTGCAGGGGTTCACATGATGTACCCCAGGGCTGGTCACCCACTCAGGCACACCCGTGGCCCTGCCTGAGCCAGCACTGCCTGACCCCCACCTTCAGAAGCCCTTGCCTGCCTAAGGTGGGGCTGTGGGGGAGGCTGGTCCTCCATTCTGGGGGGCTGGGGGGACACCCCTTCTGGTTGAGAAGGCCACAGAGGGGCCCTGGTCATCAGGACACAGCAGGGACCACCCAGACTACCGTGGCGGGGCCTGAGGAGGAGCTGCCGCAGCTCCTTGGTGGGAGGGGCTTCAAGGGGCCTTTTGTGCAGAAGGTGGGTGTTCCCAGCCTCAGAGGCCAGGGCCCTTGCAGGTTGGGGTGGGGGCTCTGGCCCGCGGCCCGGCTGAGGGGGCCGGAGCGGGGGCGGGGAGAGCAGCTTGCGCCTGCCTTTTCTGCTCCCATCACCATGGCAACACATGGAGGTTGGCAGGAAGGAGGAGGGGGCGGGCTTTGGAGGAGGCAGCCCAGGTTTGGAGACCAGCTGGGGATCCTCAGGGGCGTGGGTGGGGGCTCTAGCCTTGGGCCAGCTGTGTCCCTCCTCTCTGGACACCCAGCCAGCCGTGCTGAAGGGAGGGTGGGCTCTGGACGAGCCCTGAGCTTCCTTCCTCACAGCCTTGCTCCCGGGCCACAGCAGCAGGTGGGAAGTGTTAGTGCCCGCCATGGGCTGCCTGGCTGGGGCCCTGAAGGTGGTGCCTGAGCAGAGGGCACGGTTCTGCCCCATCTGGCTTTAGTTTGGGGAGGGGGCCTAGCAGGGCACCAGCCTCACCCTGTGAGCCCTGAGGGCCACCCCAGCCGATGGGCATGTCCCCGCAGGCCCTGCATCCTGCCCTTCCTCCCTCAGCTCCCCAGGAGAGCCCAGACCTGGCCCAGCGGTGGGCAGGGGAGGGAGCACATGTCGCAGAGTGCCAGCTGGTCACACTCCTGGCCCACAGCTGCTCCAGCTGCACCGCCACCTTCCTCGAGGCCAGACCTGGCTCTGCCCACAGCCTGGCCAGCAGGTGCCGTTCACACCGTGGCTGCCTGGGCCCCGTGTGTGCTTACACACATGCGTGAGGATTGCAGCCACGGCAGGGACTGGAAAACCTCGCCAGCACCCAGCGGGCTGCACCTGCCTGGACGGCTCCCACGCTGGCGCTGACTGCCCCTCTGTGGGGGGGAGACTCCTGCCCACCGGCCTGCCTGGCATACGGGCCCTGGTCTCACCCTCCCCATCCTCTGGCTGTGGGGAATGTTCTCAGTCACTGGCCTTATTGGCAGCGGTGTGGTGGGTGAAGTCTGGGCTCTTTGGTGGGCAGGGATGAGTGAGTGGGTGTCCTCAGAAAATGTTGGGTCAGGGACAGTGGCTTGGGGGTCAGGCCAGGGTCCAGTGGCGGGAGGGGCCCAGCAGAGCTGGGGCGTCCATGGGAAAACCTTTTCCGGGCCAGGGACAGTAGCTGGGGGGTCAGATATGGCAGCCCCAGCCCAGATGGGCCCCTCCTGCCTGCTGGGAGTGAGCGACGGTGCCCTGGCTGCCAGAGCTACCCCATGTCCCAGGCTGGTCGGGTCTCTGGCCCAGGGCACAGCAGTGGCACTCCCTCCCCAGGGGCAGGGCCCCCCGGCCTACTGTGCGCACCCACCCTGATGGCTGCAGGCCTGAGGGGTGGACGGGAGGGACCCACTGCAGGCGCTGCCCCAGCACCCTGGGCCCTGGCACGTTCGTCTGTGAACCCACGTTCAGAACCCTAGCTCCTGAGGAGGATAGGGCTGGGCAGGGGCTAGAGTGGGTATCTGTCCATCTCATGGCCCAGCTTATACCTAAGCCGGGATCTCTGGCTTAAGCCAGTCAGATGTTTAGCTGCCATGAGCTCCCCTGGGGGCTTCCACCTCCCAGACGTCCCCTGGGGACGGCCCCTCCGGTGTGGTGTGCTCTGACCCCACCATCCACTTGGGTCAGCCCAGGGACCCTGCCTCTGGCCCAGCCCTCCCATCTCTGCAGCCGTTTTCAGGGGCCACTAGGAGAGTCCTAGAGGTGGTGCCCCTGGACCAAGGAAAGGGACCCTCCCTCTCCGATGCCAGAGCCTCCTGCAGGGCCTGGTGGTCTCTGTCCAGCCTAAGCGCCCTGGCCATGGACTCTGCAGCAGGAGGGGCGCTGTGCCCAGGCTGTGCCCTGGCCTTACGCCCTGGGAGCCCCACAGCCCACACGGGCCCTGGCACCCAGCTCCCTAGAACTTCCCCAAGCCAAGAAAGAAGTGGGCATGGGTGCCTGGGGTCTTTGTGCCCAGAGCTGAGCTGTGTGACCTGGGCTCCCTGCACTGCCCACCACCCTCTGACCCTGAGCACGCAGGTCCACGGTGGGGCCTGGTTAGAACTGGGGGAGCCAGGAGGTGGGTCCAGAGCTGAGCCCAGGGAGGTGGCACCTGGCACCCCCACCCCATCAGCCCCTCCTGCCGCCTCTGGTGGCATCAGTGGCCCCAGAGCCAGGAGCAGCTAGGGGTTAGGGCTCAGGTGGAGACGGGTAGAGGCTGCTGCCTCACAGCAGGGGCAGCCCAGCTCCCAGCCCTGCCTTCCACCCCGAGGAGCACGGGCGCCTCCCACACTGGACCTGTAGCGCCGGCTGCTTCCTCACTCTCTTCACTGTAGACCTGGAATAATCACGTGATCCCGGGGGTCACTGCATTTTCTCTATCTGCTCCTTAGTTTTAAAACGATCATTTATTAATTTGGAAAGAAGAGCTTACCTTAAAATGTAAAGATATTCTAATTTTCCTGTATGGACCAAGATGTGCCCTGGTCAGAAACATCACCCCCCAAAGTTGCCATTGATCAGTGGTTTATGGGAATCTCCACAGGCCAGGCAGGGGGCGGTCAGCCTGGGAGTGACCAGGCTGCTTCTCCGTCTGGACAGCTGTCTCCACGCCCCGTGGCAGCTTGAGGCTGGGGATGCCACTCCCCACCGTGCTCCCAGGATCTCAGGGTGCTAGAAACTTCCCTCTGCCCAGAGTCCACATCACCAGGGTCCCAGGATGAACTGCGTGGAACCCGGGTTCATCGGGAGCTGAGGAACGGCACGGCCGCTCACGTACAGCTTTACAGGCAGCCATTGCTTGGAACTTAGGCCGAGGAGGGAGTGAGTTTGGGAAATGGCGTTTTCTGTTTTGTTTTTTGTAAGACCTAGTGTCCCTCTGTCTCCCAAGAATGCAATGTCGAGATCTCAGCTCACTGCCACCTCCGCCTCCTGGGTTCAAGTGATTCTCCCGCCTAAGACTCCTGAGTAGCTGGGACCACAGGCTGGAGCCGCGGCATCCGGGTTACGTCTAACTGAGGAGCTGCCAGACTTTCTCATTGGAACCAGTTTTACTCGGTCTCATTGGGGCTTTTTAAGTCCCCACGGAAAGGGCAGCCCTGTTCCCCGCTGGAAGCCTGGCACCCCTGTCTGCCCGGGGCATGCCCCACCCCCTCGGGTCCCTCACTTCCCTCCATAGAATTTGGTGGCTTGGAGGAAGCTGTCACCTGCGCGCTGCCCACAGGGCGGTCCTGGCGGAGAGCTTGGAGTGGCCGTTCCTTCTGTCCCTTCTGTTGCGTGGGGCTTCCCCACAGCCCCTTTGGCCACTGTCTCCTGGGAGGGCAGCCATGGGGAAGGCTGGAGCTCCCAGCTTTGGGCATGCGAGTGTCCCTGGCGGTTCTGTTCTGTGACTTCAGTTTTTCAGACTGGGAGAAGTGGAGAGTTTGAGTCCATTGCCAGTAGGCACAGGAACCAGGCACTGAGCCAAGTTCGTGATTGCTCCCGGCAACCCCACGCCACACCTGGCTCACGGGGACCTTCCCGGTGGCCAGGGCCTGGGCCTGCCCAAGCTAGGGCAGGGGGAGGGGAGGGATCTGTTTGTAAAATTTCTGTTTCGATTTCAAGTGCAATCATGTTGGCAGATTAAAAACACGGAAACTGAAGTGCTTTGATTCAGTCAGTAACGGTTAAGAGCATGAGGGACCCTGAGCTGAGGACTCGGGGACGGCCTTCCAGCCGCACAGCCCGGAAGCCCTGCCCATGGACCGCGGGCATTGTGCATTCTGTTTCCTTGGGTGGCGCGTCCACAGTGCCCACGCCGTTCTGCAGGATCTGCCTTCTAGAGATGCTGTTGTAAGAATGGGTTTTCAGGCTCCCGTGCCCCTCGAGTGAGTCCCAGTGCAGCGCGTTTCCCCAGCTTTTGCTGACTGCATGTAGAATTCGGGTGTCCTTCGGGTGCTCAGTGGGTGCACAGCCGTGTCCTCTGCTGGTGAGAGGCGGCTGCCGCCGAGGCCCCTGGGTGTGGTGTGCGTCTCTGGCTGCTTTTGAGGTTCTCTGTATCAGTCTTGCAGTGACCTGCCTCAGTGGGTTCCTCCAGGCTTCTGTCCAGCTTGAGGTTCAGTGAGCCCCGTGGATCCATAGCTGAGGTACTTAATACATTTGGGGAAATGCTTCATTTGTCTCTCTTAAAATGTGCCCTCTCCCGGTGGCTCACCTCTGTAATCCCAGCACTTTGGGAGGCCAAGACAGGTGGATCACTTCAGGTCAGGGGTTTGAGACCAGCCTGGCCAACATGGATAAACCCTGTCTCTACTAAAGATACAAAAATTAGCTGGGTGTGGTGGGAGTGCGTGTAATCCCAGCTATTCAGAAGGCTGAGGCAGGAGAACCACATGTGCCTGTGCATGTCTGTGTGTGTGCCTGTGTGCGCCTGTGTGTGCCTGTGTGTGTACCCATGTGCGTGTGCCTGTATGTGTGCCTCTGCATGTGCATGTGTGTGCCTGTGTGTACCCGTGTGCCTGTGTGTGCCTGTGTGTACCTGTGTGCATGTGCATGTGTGTGCCTCTGTGTGCGTGTATGTACCTGTGCATGTCTGTGTGTGTGCCTGTGTGTGCCTGTGTGCGTGTGCCTGTATGTGTGCTTGTGCATGTGCATGTGTGTGCCTGTGTGTACCTGTGTGCATGTGCCTGTGTGTGCCTCTGTGTGCGTGTATGTACCTGTGCATGTCTGTGTGTGTGCCTGTGTGTGCCTGTGCCTGTGCATGTGCGCCTGTGTGTACCGTGCACGTGTGCCTGTGTGTGCCTTTGTGTGCCTGTGTGCATGTGCCTGTGTGCGTGTGCCTGTATGTGTGCCTCTGCATGTGCATATGTGTGCCTGTGTGTGTATGTACCTGTGCATGTCTGTGTGTGTGCCTGTGTGCACCTGTGTGCCTGTGTGTGTGTGCCTCTGCATGTGCATGTGTGTGCCTGTGTGTGTACCCATGTGCGTGTGCCTGTGTGTGCTTGTGTGTGCCTGTGTGTGCGTGTATGTACCTGTGCATGTCTGTGTGTGCCTGTGTGTACCTGTGTGTGTTCGTGTGCCTGTATGTGTGCCTGTGCATGTGCATGTGTGTGCCTGTGTGTGTACCGTGTGCGTGTGCCTGTGCGTGCCTGTGTGTGTACCTGTGTGCATGTGCATGTGTGTGCCTGTGTGTACCGTGTGCTTGTGCCTGTGTGTGTACCTGTGTGCATTTGCCTGTATGTGTGCCTCTGCATGTGTATGTGCCTGTGTGTGTACCCGTATGCGTGTGCCTGTGTGTGTCTGTGTGTGCCTGTGGGTGTACCTATGTGTGCGTGTGTCCCTGTGTGTGTGATGGCGTGATGGGCAGGGAGTGGGGACGGCCTTGTCAGGATGAGACAGATGTTGCTGCAGGGGTGGACCCCAGCCCCCACCCTCTGCTGGGTGTGGCCCCGGCTGCCCCTCTTGTTGGTCCAGAGCAGGGAGAGGCTGGCCGGGGCTGCCCCGACCCCGTGGACGGCCAGATGCTCCAGGGTGTCTGCAGCCCCATCCGAGTCCTGTCCTGTACTCTGACGGACACAGACATTTTCAGTTTCCTGTGTCCCCTGGAGACAGGCAGGCCCAAGCCCAGCCCCTGCCTGCTCTTCCTGCCCACTTCTAGGAGATTCTTGAATGTTTTGAGGTTCCCCCATCATTGCCGGGCTTCCTCTTGTTTAATCCAGAAAGGGTTGGCAGGTGAGCCTGAAGTCTTGCCTGGACCTTTGTTCCTCCGTGCAGGCCCTGCCTGGACGCCCTGTGGCTCCCAAGTCGTGTCCCCGCCCCCTTGGTCCCCAGCTCCAGCCTCTTCCTCCCCACCTGGCCTTCACCCCAGGATCCACCCCTCCCTGCAGCCTCCTCCCTGGCCATCATCCTACTCATGGCCTGGCTGGGGGACTCCTCCGGTCACTCCTGTCCTCAGTTCTAGGTGGGGCCAGCAGTCCTGGGGCTCAGCCTCTGTGCAGTGTCCAGCAGGTGCCCAGCAACTCCCTGCTTTTCCGCTTCAACAGCCCAGCTTGGAGGTCTCATGGGGAAGGGGTCTGCACCCACCAAGGCACCCTTGGCCCTCTGGCTGGGTGCTGGAAGGTGGGTTTCAACCCTGGGACCTGACTGGGGCCTCCCCCTGGCATCTTTCATTTGGGTGCAGAGCAGAGCGGACCTTTGGGATGCACACGGCGATGCCATCAGGTCTTCAGGGGCTTTGCACTGCCTGTGGGCGCCAGATGTGGCCAGCCTTGGGCCTCTTCCTGGTGTCATCCCCGTCTGTGCTTTGGAGGGGAGGACATTGTGACAGCTGAGGGCTGTGGATGTCTGGGGGCTCTCATTTAATCTTCCCCTGCTAGGACGGGGTGGCTGGAGATCCCTGAGGCTGGGTGCACCCAGGGTCACACTCAGGAGGGAAGCAGGCGTCTACGGTCCTGCCCTGGCTCCCACCCGCTGGCTGCAGAGATACCTGCCTCTGCTTGGAAGGGACCTGGGTTCCGGAACAGCCTGAGGCTGGGAAGCTGCCCGCTCCTTCACTCTCTGGCCCGTGGCGGGAGCTGCATCCCCACTTTTGTTTGGGTGCCGGGCTGGGAGGGCGGGAGCCAGGCAGAGGCAGTGGAGCTGTCTTCAAAGAGATGCACCGCCCCTCCTTCCGCGCCTGGCGCTGGTAGGCGGCGGAGGCTGTGGGATCTATTAATGTTCTGAGCGTGTGCTGGGGGTCTCCTCCTTCCTGCCCCCGCCCTGGCTCCTCTGTCAGGCTGTCGCCATGGGTGTGTGGGGTGGGGGTCTCCTCCTTCCTGCCCCCACCCTGGCTCCTCTGTCAGGCTGTCGCCATGGGTGTGTGGGGTGGGGGGTCTCCTCCTTCCTGCCCCCGCCCTGGCTCCTCTGTCAGGCTGTCGCCATGGGTGTGTGGGGTGGGGGGTCTCCTCCTTCCTGCCCCCGCCCTGGCTCCTCTGTCAGGCTGTCGCCATGGGTGTGTGGGGTGGGGGGTCTCCTCCTTCCTGCCCCCGCCCTGGCTCCTCTGTCAGGCTGTCGCCATGGGTGTGTGGGGTGGGGGGTCTCCTCCTTCCTGCCCCCGCCCTGGCTCCTCTGTCAGGCTGTCGCCATGGGTGTGTGGGGTGGGGGGTCTCCTCCTTCCTGCCCCCGCCCTGGCTCCTCTGTCAGGCTGTCGCCATGGGTGTGTGGGGTGGGGGGTCTCCTCCTTCCTGCCCCCGCCCTGGCTCCTCTGTTGGGCTGTCGCCAGGGGTGCGTGGGGTGGGGGGTCTCCTTCCTGCCCCCGCCCTGGCTCCTCTGTCAGGCTCTTGCCATGGGTGTGTGGGGTGGGGGGGTCTCCTTCCTGCCCCCGCCCTGGCTCCTCTGTCAGGCTGTCGCCATGGGTGTGTGGGGTGGGGGGTCTCCTCCTTCCTGCCCCCGCCCTGGCTCCTCTGTCAGGCTGTCGCCAGGGGTGCGTGGGGTGGGGGACTCCTCCTTCCTGCCCCCGCCCCGGCTCCTCTGTCAGGCTATTGCCGTGGGTGTTCAGGGTGGAGTTGCATAGAGCCTGGCATGCCCTAAACTGAGGAGGCCGAGGGTTGGGGAGCAGGAGCTGGGGTGCTAATGAGGGAATGAGGTTTCAGTGTCTGTGGCAACTTCAGAGGCCCCTGTCAGGGCAAGTGGGGGTACCCCCAACCCGGGGAGCAAAGCTGCCGCCCAACACCGGGGCCGTGCCTGAGATGAGAGCACATCAGCCTGGGAGAGGAGGGCGCAGGTTGGGGCAGGGGCTGGGCAGGCTGAGGGGTCTCACCCAAAGCTGAGGTACCAAGTGGGGAGACGGTGGCGCCTGTGGCTGTGTCGCCGTCCTCCATGTATTTGAGGCGGGGTCAGGACCAACGGTGTGGTTGGGTGAGAGCCCAGTCCAGCCCCAGCTGTGAGCTTCCCCTCCGGGAGTGTGCAGGTGGGTGGCAACAGGGGCGAGTCAAGCAGATTGTGGAGTGGGGGCTGGCCGGGCCTCATGGCAGCTCCCAGCCCCGGCCCCCTCCTGAGCTGTTTGTTGTCCTGTGTGTGTGTGTGTGTGTGTGTGTGTGTGTGGTCCCCGTTTAGTGTCCTGTGTGCACAGAGTCCTGGGTGGGGCCTGCCCTCCTCCAGCCTCTTCTCTACCCTGTCTGCTGCATGCCACCCATCGGGTGCTCTGGGGAGGAGGAGGTCCCTGTGTCGCTAGGGAGGTTTGCTGGCCATGGGGGGAGCAGCCCATGAGGCTGAGGCTGGCTTGGGAGTCAGGAGGCTCTGTGGTGGGCACTGGTACATGAGGAGCTGTGGGGTCTGTGCAGAGGGGCCGTGTGCCACTGGCCTTGTGAGTGTGCAGTGTCTACACCGTCCTTATCCCATCTCCTGAGCGTGCGGTGTCTACACCGCCCCCACCCCGTCTCCCGAGTGTGCGGTGTCTACACCGTCCCCACCCCGTCTCCCGAGCGTGCGGTGTCTACACCGTCCCCACCCCGTCTCCCGAGCGTGCGGTGTCTACACCGCCCTCACCCTGTCTCCCGAGCGTGCGGTGTCTACACCGCCCTCACCCCGTCTCCTGAGCGTGCGGTGTCTACACCGTCCTCAGTGTCTACACCCCACCCCGTCTCCTGAGCATGTGGTGTCTACACCGCCCCCACCCCGTCTCCCGAGCGTGCGGTGTCTACACCGCCCCCACCCCGTCTCCCAAGCGTGCGGTGTCTACACCGCCCCCACCCCGTCTCCCGAGCGTGCGGTGTCTACACCGCCCCCACCCCGTCTCCCGAGCGTGCGGTGTCTACACCGCCCTCACCCCGTCTCCCGAGCGTGCGGTGTCTACACCGCCCCCACCCCGTCTCCCGAGCGTGCGGTGTCTACACCGCCCTCACCGCGTCTCCCGAGCGTGCGGTGTCTACACAGCCCTCACCGCGTCTCCTGAGCGTGCGGTGTCTACACAGCCCTCACCGCGTCTCCTGAGCGTGCGGTGTCTACAGTTTCCTCACCCCGTCTCCTGAGCGTGCGCTGTCTCTAGTGTCCTCAGTCCCATCTCCTGAGCATGCGGTGTCTACAGTGTCCTCACCCCGTCTCCTGAGCATGCGGTGTCTACAGTGTCCTCACCCCGTCTCCTGAGCGTGTGGTGTCTACACTGCCCCCACCCCGTCTCCTGAGCGTGCGGTGTCTACACTGCCCCCACCCCGTCTCCCGAGCGTGCGGTGTCTACACAGCCCTCACCCGTCTCCTGAGCGTGCGGTGTCTACAGTGTCCTCACCCCGTCTCCTGAGCGTGCGGTGTCTACACTGCCCTCACCCCGTCTCCTGAGCGTGCGGTGTCTACACTGTCCTCACCCCGTCTCCTGAGCGTGCGGTGTCTACAGTGTCCTCACCCCGTCTCCTGAGCGTGCGGTGTCTACACCGCCCTCACCACGTCTCCTGAGCGTGCGGTGTCTACACAGCCCTCACCCCGTCTCCTGAGCGTGTGGTGTCTACACAGCCCTCACCCGTCTCCTGAGCGTGCGGTGTCTACAGTGTCCTCACCCCGTCTCCTGAGCGTGCGGTGTCTACACCGTCCTCACCCTGTCTCCTGAGCGTGCGGTGTCTACACCGTCCTCACCCTGTCTCCTGAGCGTGCGGTGTCTACACCGGCCTCACCGTGTCTCCTGAGCGTGTGGTGTCTACAGTGTCCTCACCCTGTCTCCTGAGCGTGTGGTGTCTACACTGCCCTCACCACGTCTCCTGAGCGTGCAGTGTCTACACTGCCCTCACCACGTCTCCTGAGCATGCGGTGTCTACAGTGTACTCACCCCATGTCCTGAGTGTGCGGTGTCTACACCGTCCTCACCCCCCCCCGAGTGTGCAGCATCTACGGCACCCACCCCCCCAGGACACACTGCTGATAGCAATCTCTCCCGGTCATGTAGTCCAGGGTGGGGCCTCCAAGACAGTGAAACCTCCTTCCAGGGACACTCCACGCTACCCCCGACAGTGCTGACCATGGGCTGGAAGAGCTCCGTGACCCCACGGTCCCCTGGAGCGGGGACTGCCCCCAGCTCAGCTGCCTGTCAGGATGGACACACTCCCTCTGGGTCTCACTTTTGCCCTCTCTTTGCCCAGCCTTGTGTTCACTCCTCAAGCCAGGACCGAGGAGACAACAGAGATACAGCTTGCGCCGGCCCCAGCTGGGGGTTGCTGCCTGTCCAGGAAGCCCCACAGCCAGCCCCAACCTGGTCATGCGTGTGAGGATGGGCCTTGGCAGACCTGGGTTTCTGAGCAGGTGCCCTTGCTCCCCAGGCCTCCGTGTCCCCTCCTGGGAAAGGGACAGAGCTTTGTGAGGATCTAGGGGAGGGTAATGCAGCTTGGGAGCCTTAGCTTGGCCAGAGAGCAGCCTGGAGGCCGATATCCAGGCACCTCCAGGGTCCACACACCCCAGGGCCTCCCCCAAGAACTGCATCTCCTGCGGGATGTGGTGGGGACAGTGGGGTCCTGGCTGTCTGGGCTTCAGGAACAACGGAACCGGGTACCCTCCCCCAAGCCCCATCCTTAGCGTCTGGAGGCTGAGAGTGGGCCCGAGACCTTGTACATTCTTTAGAGTGGAGCCTGTGGAACCTCTGCTTGGGAGCTGAGGCCTCTGGCCAGGCTCAGACTCTTGGGGAGCATGTCTGGGGAGAAGCTCCTGAGACCAGGAGAGGGATAAGGTCAGGCGGCCACAGTGGTCCTGGAATTTGAGATCCCTGAGGAGGGTCATGATGAAGGGTGCTGTCCATGGACACTTGTGTGAGTGGAGGAGGCACATGTGAGGTCCCTGCTGCCGGTACACGTTCCCCAGACCTGCTCACTCAACAGCAGAGATACATTCTTTTACCTTCTGGATGCAGGACGTCCACGATGCGGGGTGGGTGGGGCTGGCTCTTCCAGGTGCCAGGAAGCTCTGCTCCTCGCCTCTCCTGGCTAGGTTTTCCTGGTGCCCTGGGCCTGCCTGCAGAAGCCCCCCTCAACATCTTGCTCTCACCCTCACGTGGCACCCTCCCGGTGTGTCCCCAGCCATGCGTTCCTCTGCCTTTCTCTGATAGGAAGGCTGGCTGTTGGGTTTAGGGTCCACACCAAATCCCAGGTGATGTTATATTGAGATCCATAACTTAGAAACCTCTGCAGAGGCCATTTTACCAAGTCAGGTCACATTCCTGAGCCTCGGGCATCGGGACACAAATCTTTCAGGGACCACCCTTCCATCCATGCATCTTCCAGCTGTGATGTGGGGCCCCCTTGGCATCCCCGTGGCCTCCAGAGCTGCTCTGTGAGCCCCAGGGAGCCCCACCATTCCCCTGGAGTGACAGCAGGTCCTGCAGACCAGGCAGAGGGAAGCCTCTGCTGGGGGGGTCCCCCAGGGCCCCTGCCAGGCTCTCACCTGCACTGCCTCAACATGGAGGGTGCCCAGCAGTGGGTGGCTCTGAGCATGGGGGCAAGAGGAAGAAGGGCAGTGAGAACTGGAGGAGACAAGGTGTCCCTGTGGGGTGGCCCCCCTCAGGATCCTTCCAGGCAGACAGTGGGGCTGTGTGACCAGCGTGGGAATCAAGGGTAGATGAGGGGCCTCCTTCACTGGGGTGGGGCCCAGCAGCAGGAACTCCCCCAGCATTTAAAGGAGAAGCATCCAGGACCCTTCACCAGGACCTGGACTGCTCTGTGCCCCGACAGGATGGGATGGCTGCATACCTGCTGCCCTGTCCTCCACCTGCATCCAGCCAGCAGGCCATTTCTCCCACGCTTCACCCTCCACCCTAGCCCAGGAGGCCCAGGCTCAGGATCTGTGGAGACTGGGTGGATAGAGGGAGTCCTGGGGGTCAGGCAGGGCCCTGTGGAGCTGGCTGGGGCTCTGTTCAGACAGACAGGGTCTCTGGACCTGGGCTTCTGCCAGGCGGGCTCCCTGGGGCAGGTTGGTGGGGTGGGGGCAGGAGGCGGGGGCCGAGCAGGACTGTGCTTCCCCTTTCCAGGGCTCACACACAGCACCTGTGGAGCCAGCGGCTGGTGGGAGAGGTGTTCCTGCCGCCTCTGCAGGTGAAGACTCGGGGGTCCTTGTCAGAGGCTGCGTGGTCGGTGGGATTGGCGCCAGGGAGGCCATGTGATTCCTACTTAGTGACGCTGTCCTGCCAGGTGGGTACTCAGACACAGGTCCTGAGTGCCATGTGGAGACCTTGGCATGGGAGTCCTGAGTGCCACATTGAGGCCTGGGCATGGGAGTCCTGAGCACCACTGGAGGCCTGGGCATGGGAGTCCTGAGTGCCACATTGAGGCCTGGGCATGGGAGTCCTGAGCGCCACATTGAGGCCTGGGCGTGGGAGTCCTGAGCGCCACGTGGTGGCATGGGAGTCCTGAGTGCCATGTGGAGACCTTGGCATGGGAGTCCTGAGCACCATGTGGAGGCCTGGGCATGGGAGTCCTGAGTGCCACATTGAGGCCTGGGCATGGGAGTCCTGAGCACCACTGGAGGCCTGGGCGTGGGAGTCCTGAGCACCACTGGAGGCCTGGGCGTGGGAGTCCTGAGTGCCACGTGGTGGCATGGGAGTCCTGAGTGCCATGTGGAGACCTTGGCATGGGAGTCCTGAGCGCCACATTGAGGCCTGGGCGTGGGAGTCCTGAGCGCCACGTGGAGGCCTGGGCTTGGGAGTCCTGAGCGCCATATGGAGGCCTGGGCATGGGAGTCCTGAGCGCCATGTGGAGGCCTGGGCGTGGGAGTCCTGAGCGCCACGTGGTGGTGGCCTGGGCTTGGGGGTCCTGAGCGCCACGTGGTGGTGGCCTGGGTGTGGGGGTCCTGAGCGCCACCCTGAGGCCTGGGCGTGAGAAGCCCAGCATTTTCATTGTCCTGCTCTGCATGGTGGGTCAGTCCCGGTGGGTGCAGCACTTGGAGTCCCTGCTCCCTGGGGTCGTCCATCCAAGCCACCCGGCAGGTGGTTGTGGCTCAAGGCCTCTCAGGAGGCTCTGGTGAAGGCGGCACCTAGGGCTACCTGGGCTGGAAGGGCTTCCTGTGGGGGCGGGGTTCCTGCAGGCTGTGTAGGGGGGCCTCAGATCCTCTGCACATGGATGTCCTGCAGGGCACTGCCTCAAGATGTGGCCACCGGGCTCCCCAGAGCCCAAGAGGAAGCTGTGGTGTCCTTGTGGTCTGGTCTTTGAAACACATACCCTTCCCTTGCCTTGCTTCCTTTGTGCACAGACGAGCCACAACACAGTGTGAGATGGGACACAGGCTGTGGCTTCCAGGGGGTAGGTCGCTGAGGTCTGCGGAGGCTGTTGTGGGCAGAGTGTTTCATGGTCATCTGGGGCATGGGGTGACTAAGGGGACAGAGAGAGCAAGGATGAGGAGCAGAGGCAGCTGGGCTGGGGACACACCTGTCCCTTTGCCCTCAGTTGGCCTGGTGTGGGCCCTGGGGAGATGGGGAAGCCGTTTCCTCCTGGCTGGGGTATTGGCTGCCTGGCTCTCTCTGGCCGCCCTCCAAGGCCTGCACCTTGGCTCATGTGGACAGCCAGGCCAGGAGATGGGGCCACTCAGCAGCATCTGGCATTGCTTCTGGTTTTTCCAAAGAGCCGCGTTGTGCTGCTTCCCTTCCTCATGGAGAGCCCGCTGGAGGCTGCCCCGTTCTGTCCCCCAGAAGAGGGGCCTGCTCTGCACACTCCCATGAGTTGTGGCCCGGCCACGGGGATTCGGCACTCCAGGAAATGGGTCACCGCTGGCTGTGGCCGTCTGGGGAGCTGGGCCACGTGGGGCCCTGTCTCAGGATGAGGCCCACTTGGTCCCCTCACCGTGGGGTGGAGACAATGACGGGGCAGGTTGTGGCCTGTGCTGCTCTCTGGAAGCCTGCTTTGTGGGGTGGGAGCAGGGCAGGCCTGTCCAGTGACCCCACCCCTCAGGGCATTTCCTCCTTACCGCCTGGGCCCAGGGGCTGCTGGAGGCAGGTTCTTCACCTGCAGGGGACACGTTCAGCACCAAGGACAGCAGCCCATTCCCCACGTGCGGCAGCTCTCATGCTCCTTTCCCACCTGCATCCTGTCCACTGGCCTTGGGGTAGATGAGCTGTCCCTGTCCTTTCTGTTGGATCTCACCCCACTTCTGGGTGAGGGTGGGCAGCAGACACCCAACGGGGCCCAAGGTGGCCCTCCAGGCTGTGGCACTGGTGTGCATGGTGGAGATGGTAGGAGGTGTGGGCAGGGGAGGGTGAGGACACTGAGCTTCCCGGGTATACCTTCCTCCCCCAACCGCCAGTGCCTCAGGCAGAAGGCCGCTCTCATCTTGGCTAACCTGGGACTTGGGTCAGGGTCTGCTCTCGGATGCCAGGTGCAGGATGGTCCCAGAGCTCCCTTTGACTCTCCCGGCTGGCTCTGGAGCTCCTGGGGATGTGTTAATGTGCCAGTCCGCTCCCTGAGGCCCAGCACTCTCCTGGCATACCTGGGCCTTCCCTAGGATGCCCTGTGGTTCCATGGTGCCCGGCCCTTCCATGCAGTGGGCACAGGGAGAGCTGACATCCTTGGGCACCCACCAGCAAACCCTCCCACAGAAATGAGGCCTGATGTGAGCTGCTGGCCCCCGCTGCTCTGTGCCACCACCCGTCCCTCACTGCTCTGCACCGCCGCCCCCCCGCAGGGCCCTGTGCAGTGATCTGTGGCACTGCACGCTTTTCCTCTCGCCGCTGAGCCTCTGTGTATGTAAAGACAGTAATTAGAGATGGAATCTCAATTGGAAAATAAACCACAGCACGTTGCGGGGTGGATGATGAAGGCTGGCCCTGGGCTTCTCCATGGCAGCCTCCCACTCTGCACCCTCCAGGCTGTGGCCCAGTCAGGAGGGCCTCTCACAGCACACTCCCCACTCCCTGCATCCAGGAAGTGGGAAAACGGCTCATAACCCAAATATTCTGCTCATAATCCCGAAGCTGGGGGGACCAGGATGCAGAGGGTGGCATTGCTGCCTAGGGCCCCAGGGAAGCTTTACTTTGGAGGGACATCTCCATGCTGGGCTTTGAGAGATGTATAGGAGTCTTCAGGGTACAGTAGTGGGGAAAGGATTTTCTGGGCATAGGGGCAGCAAGTGAAAGAAGATGGAGGCAGGAGTGGCCAGAGCTCCAGGACACAGCTGGGGACGGCCCTCCTGCGCCAGGACACAGCTGGGGACGGGCCTCCTGCGCCAGGACACAGCTGGGGACGGGCCTCCTGCGCCAGGACACAGCTGGGGACGGGCCTCCTGCGCCAGGACACAGCTGGGGACGGCCCTCCTGCGCCAGGACACAGCTGGGGACGGGCCTCCTGCGCCAGGACACAGCTGGGGACGGCCCCCCTGCGCTAGGACACAGCTGGGGATGGCTCTCCTGTGCCCCAGCCTGCTGTGTCCTGGCTGCCTTTACCTGAGCCCTGAGGCGTCTGAGCACCAGCAGGAGGCTCTTGGTGGCTGTGACTCCTCTGTGCCTCTGTCGCCATCCAAGAGACCTCCAGCCACCTGCAGCCCCCAGGCTCCAGATGCAAGGAAGTGGGCGGGCTCTGTGGGTGCGCCAGGCCCAACCCCAGTGGCTCCATCCCCGCCGGAACCTCCTCTTGGAAGGTGGGGGCTTGTCAGGAACACGCTGTTCCACATGGCCCCCTGTTCTCCTGGCCCTTCTGAGCCACATATGCTGGCAGCAGATGGAACCACTGTATCCTCGTCTGTGCATGCTGGTGGAGGGGCCCTACTCAGAACAGCAGCTGGGGCAAGGCCAGTGCTCCTGATGGGTGGTGGGGCCAGCAGCGCCCTTTCAGTATCGGCTTCTGGGAAGTTGGCCCAGGTGGCTGTCAGGCCCCTCTCCATTTTCAGTCCCCTTTCTTTCCTTTTCTGGAAGCAGGATGGTGCTCTCCACACATCTTTTGGCTCCTGTCATTCACGGATGTGTCTGTACAGGCTGACACTGTGCCTGCATATCTGTATGTGTGCATGAGGGTGTGTGTACACTGGGGTGTGTGTGTGCATGAGAGGGTAGGCGTGCACTATGGGTATGTGTGTGTACACTGGTATGTATGTGTGTAATTGCAGGTGTACATGCACTGAGGTGTGTACTGTGTGCACATGGTGTTACTGGATGTGCACCAGGTATGTGCACGGGGTGTGTGTGTACAGGGTGTGGGCGTGTGCACATGGGTGGGTGCATTGGGTATGTGCACAGGGTGTAGGCATGCATGTATGCACGGGTGGGTGCATTGGGTATGTGCACAGGGTGTAGGCGTGCATGTGTACATGGTTGTGTGCACAGGGTTTAGGTGTGTGTACAGGGTGTAGGCCTGTGTGGTGTGCATGGGGTGTGTGCACAGGGTGTAGGCATATGTGTATGGGTGTGTGCACTGGGTATGTGTGCACAGGGTGTAGGCATGCATGTGTGCACGGGTATGTGAATGGGTGTGCCCAGGGTGTAGACGTGCCTGTGTACATGGGTGTGTGCATGGGTATGTGCGCAGTGTAGGCGTTTGTGTGCACGGGTGTGTGCATGGGGTGTGTGCACAGGGTGTAGGTGTGCCTGTGTGCATGGGTATGTGTGCACAGGGTGTAGGCATGCCTGTGTGCATGGGTGTGTGCATGGGGTGTGTGCAAAGGGTGTAGGCATGTGTGTATGGTGTGCATGGGGTGTGTGCACAGGGTATAGGCATGTGTGTATGGGTGTGTGCACTGGGTATGTGTGCCCAGGGTGTAGGCATGCCTGTGTACACGGGTGTGTGCATGAGTATGTGTGCACAGGGTGTAGGCGTGCCTGTGTACATGGGTGTGTGCATGGGTATGTGCACAGTGTAGGCATGCATGTGTGCATGGATGTGTGCATGGGTGTGTGGACAGGGTGTAGGTATACCTGTGTACACGGGTGTGTGAATGGGTATGTATGCACAGGGTGATCTGTGTACACAGGTGTGTGTACAGGGTGTAGCCCTGTGTGTGTGCATGGTGTGTGTGTGCGGGTGCATGCACTGTGTGTGCATGTATGTACACGGGGTGTCTCGCTGTGTGTGCATGTGCACATGGGCATGTGTGTGCACGAGTGTACTCTGGTGTGTGTGTGCATGCATAGAGGTGTGCACACCCCTCAGTGTGTGCACAGCGCGTGCCCCTGCACTGGGACCTCCTGCTCTGTAACCAGCATCCTCTGCGCTCAACAGTGAGCGTCTTCTGCGGTCTGATCGGGTGTCATCATATAACAGCTGCCAGTGCCCTTGGTGGCTGTGCCCTGATGACTTCACTCGCCTCCGTGTGGGGCCACCAGGACCACCCACAGGCCTCGTTATTCACCTGGGAATGTGATCCCGGTGCCCTTGGGGGCTTTGACCACAGCCTCCCTCCCACTTCACCCCCAGCTCTCATTACATTCTGGGGCAGAGCCCTTCCTCCTTTGGGGTCTCCTGGCCCCAAAAGGACATAGGTGCTTCTGAGGGTGCCTCACGCTGGGTGTTTCTGGGTCATCCCTTCTTTGGGAGTTTCTGTCCTGACCTCTGGCTGCATCCTCCCAGGGTTTGGTCCTGGGGGGTTTTAGGAGCTCCATGGCCTTGGGGCCAGAGGCTTCTGGCAGGGGCCACACCTTAGCCATGCAGCCATGTTTGGGGGACTTTGAGCTCTTGCTCCTTTCTGTGTAGGGGGTTCCCGGGGTGCAGGCCAGCCTTGTGCCTGGGGAGGAGTGCACCACAGGAGCCTCCAGCCACCCTGAATTATGGATGAAGGGTGCTATGCCCTCCCGAGTGCTCCCCTGGCTGAGTGAATCACAGGCCTCTTGCCAGATCAAAGGCTGCCAGGGAGAGGCAGCCCCTCCTCCATGAGCAGCCACTGCCCTGCCAGGCCCCTCCCAGCCCAGGCACTGGGCTCTCCTCCCCACCCAGCCTCTGTCTGTGCCCAGCCTGCAGCTCCCCCTGCCTCTGGGGAAGCCCACGTCTTCTGGCAAGGTCCTGGGTCCCCCGGCTGGACTGGGCTCACCCAGATCCAGGCTGCCTGGCCCTTCCCCCCAGCTCTGAGACAAGAAGAGGGGGGTCCACCCCGTCTGGAGAGCAGGTGGGCAGCCCAGGTGGTTGGTGCTGGAGGAGGCGGGGCTCCTGCATCCAAATCTGGAGCCACAGAGGCAGAGGTGGTATCAGACTCTCATGGGGTGGCTGATGACACAGGGCAGTGCACGGAAGGATGGTGTCCCCTAAAGCCCAGTGGGAACACCAGCCAGGCTCTGGGTGTCTGGGCGCTCCCAGGAAGAGGGGTACCCTGTGGTAACCTGAGCCCCACATGGTTCCAACATGACCCAGCATGGAGTAGGCCGGTGGGTACACCTGGGACCGTTGGTGGGAGGCAGTGGGAGGCGGCCTGGGTTGTGGGCGCCTGAGGGTGTCTCCAGTGTCAAGGTCCCAATTCCGGCCTGGGGGTGGGCTCAGGGGTGTGGCCTGGCTGTCCTGGGCAGGGGCAGGTACGTGGCTATGAAAAGGGGAGAGAAGAAAGGGAGAGTGGGCTGAGGGGGCAGGGGATCAGGACCATGTGCCAGCTGAGGCACATTTCCAGAGCACCCTGCCTGCCTTTTAGGTGGGTCTGGGAAGGAGAGGGCTGAAGGGCTGTGGAGGTCTGGGGCAGTGCTGCCTGGGGAGTGGCCTGGGGCCCATCCTGCTGTTCTGGGGTGAGCACAGGGCCAGCTTGGGAGCAGAGCAGCATCTCGGCAGAGGGCTGCGAAGTGGGGGGATCTCAGCAGAGGGCTGCGGGGGGCGGGTCTCAGCAGAGGGCTGCGGGGGGGGGGATCTCAGCAGAGGGCTGCGGGGCGGTCTCGGGGTGGGGGTGTGCGGGGGATGAGCTTCCTGGGCCAGGCTGGGGCCTCGAGGGCGCTCTGGCTCCTGGCGGACAGTGGTTAGAGCCAGAGAGAGGCTCCAGGTGCCCTGGGACGGGGAGAGGGCAAGTGGGGCCACGGAGAGCTGAGAAGCCCAAAGGGCCAGCATGGAGGGAAGACACAGCCTTGTGGGGTAGCGTGACACCAGCATGGAGCTGTCCTGGACGGCAACCCAGGCGGGCAGGGGCCCAGTCCAGCCCTGAAGAGGGTGGGGCCCCTGCTGACCAGGGCTCGGGAGGAGGCCCCCCAACCCGCACAGTCCGGGTGGGTCTGAGTGGCGGCTGCTTCTCTCCTGCAGGCCTGGTGAAGCTGGGGGTTCACTGTGTCACCTGCCAGAAGGTGGCCATCAAGATCGTCAACCGTGAGAAGCTCAGCGAGTCTGTGCTGATGAAGGTGAGCAGGGCCCTGGGGGGAAGGCAGGGCCAGTTGTGCTTAGGTCGGGGAATAGCACAGGGGCTGGGACTCAGCCTTGTGGGGACCTGCAGGCTTCTGGTGGCAGAGCCTCGGTGTCCTCAGTTAGAACTGAGAGGGGGCCCCTGCCTCAGAGCAGCCTGTCCCGTGCTGGGCAGGGCCCATCTTGGCAGAGGGGAGCCCCGCCTTCCTCCTCCCCTGGGGCCTGGCCTCCATGCGGTGGTGTCTGGCCACTGTGGGGACCAGGCAGGCCACCCTGGGTGGAGGACTCCTGGCCTCTGACCCTCCTCTCAGTGGGGAGGGCGCTGCCCCGGCTGCAGGGAAGCCTGACCCTGGGTGTAGAGGCAGAGGCTGTGGCTCCCAAGTGTCACGCATGGTGGGACCTGGGCATCCAGTGTGGGGCCCTCCAGGGCCCAGTGGACCAGTGGAGCCTCCCGTCCCACCTATCCCTGCATTGGCTCCTTTGAGGGGAGGGCTGGGGCTGGGGCTGGGGCTGAGGAGGGAGAGGGCCCTGTGCTGGTGGGAGGAGCCCAGGGGGTGGAGATGCCTAGGGACCCTTATTTACACTAGGAGTCTCCACAGCTGCTGGGGGCGTGGAGGAATTAACCAGACTGCACTGGGGAGGCCAGGGGACCCCAGGGGGAGGTGGCAGCAGCACCAAGGGCTGCCTGGATGGAGCTGGCAGGCTCCGACCCTGCCTTGGAGGAGAAACCGAGGCCTTGGGAGTGACAGGCCAGGACCCTGTCTGGTAGAGGGAGACCCAGTGCAGAGCGGGGCTGGGGAGAGCCCCATGCTGAATTTGGGAGGTGCCTGTGAGCCCTGAGTGGAGGAAGGAGGGCCTGGAGATGCCGAGGAGGAGAGGTGGGCCTGACACCTGCAGGCGCTGTGCACAGATGCCCGCCTGGAAGGGAAGGGCTTGGGACAGGCTGGCTAACTCACCAGGGCTGGGACCCCATCACAAGACTGGCCCCAGCTCCAAAGCCTTGTCTACCCTGGCTCCTGAGTGCTGGGTGCTCCAGGCTGTTGCCTTGGCTGGCCCCCATACTGCCACGGCCACTCCTCTGTGCTGGGCAGGGTCCCAAGTGGCCTTGACCAGGCTGGCACGTCTGAAGGAGGAGACCCTGCCCTCACCTCGGAGCAGGACTGGGTGTCCTGAGTCAGGTACCCTCAGGGGTCACTTCTGCCCCTCCCTGGGGCCCTGGGACATTGCTATCCTCCCCACTTGAGGACATTGCCAGCCGGGAGCCTGCCCACGGCTGGCACACCCACTCCACACCCCACGCACAGGACACCCACCCCCACCTCGTGCCAGTCCTGAGCCCACAGAGGCCTGTCCAGTCCCCCGCTGCGAGGCCTCCACTGTGAGGAAGGACGGAGCGTGGGCGCAGTCTGCCCGGAAGGGCCTCCACTCGACTCTGGCTGGGAGCCTGGGAGGCCTCCTCCCCTGCAGCTCCAGACCCCATTCCTGAGGCTGGGCTCACACCGAGGGCAGTGCCGAGTCCCAGGCTGCCTGCCTTGGCAGAGTTGAGAGGGGCCCTCCCGCTCCAGGGGCCCCCAGCCCCCAAGCTGGCATCAGCATGGGGCCTGGGCTACCTCCACCAGGGCCCCATGGCCCTCTGCCCTCTCCACCAGCCAGGCCCCAGCTGAGCAGCGTCCCCCCGGCTAGCACCAAAGGCAGTATCTGTGGGGAATGATGGGCGCCACAGCCCTGTGAGCGTGACATGCTCTGGTCTCTGCTGTGCAGGTGGAGCGAGAGATTGCGATCCTGAAGCTCATTGAGCACCCCCACGTCCTAAAGCTGCACGACGTTTATGAAAACAAAAAATATTTGTAGGTATTGCTGGGTCTGGAGAGCTGGGGTGGCGGAGGTGGGGCTGTTGCTGTAGGGCGGGCTGGGCCAGGGAGACAGGCAGCCTGGTGGGCAGCCGGGGCTTAGGGAGTGCAGGGACTGGAGGCCAGGGGCGCCAACGACACCCCATCAGCCCCGGCCCCGCCAGCACCCACACCTGACTGGGGAGGGTCTCGGCCAGCTGCCTTGTGCTTCTTTACCAGACCAGACGCCTGCCCTGTGGGGGACTTGCTGGTGAGCCTGAGGCCAGCAAGGGGGACAGAGCCTTCTGGGGGGGTGGGGATCGGGGTTTCAGGTCAAGGGACAGGAGCACCTGGACCTCCCCACAAGGCCACACCGAGCCTCCTGGCCTCTGCCCAGGGCTCCTCCAACCCACTGAGACACACTCCCATCCCAAGGCCCCCCCATGAGGCACAGCCTCCAGGTTCCCGCCCTGGCTGGACTCTAGCTGCCAAGTGTGGCTGACCCCGTCACCCCACAGCCGCCGAGGCCAGCAGAAATCCCCTCCCTGTGCCAGGCGTGCCTGTGTGTGAACCTCATGCCGTACACCCAGCTCAGCCAGCTCCTGGAGTGGGTGCAGCAGTCACTCACAGGACGGGCTCCTGGTGGGCTCTCATGGGGCTTCCCAGCAGCAAGGGGCGGCTGCTGAGGGCTGTCTGGCCTTGAGCCCCATCTGACTGTCGCTGGTCCCAGGACAGCGCCCTGACTACCAGGTGGCCCCAGCCAGGCATCTCTGGGGCATCAGGCACTGTGGGAGCAGGGGACATGCAGGGCTGGACTGAGGGGTGAGCTGCCCTTGGGTGAGGGGTGAGCTGAGGGCTGAGCGGGCTGAGGGGTGAGGGAGCTGAGGGTGAGGGTGCTGAGGGTGAGAGGGCTGAGGGTGAGGGGGCTGAGGGGTGAGAGGGCTGAGGGTGAGAGGGCTGAGGGGTGGGTGGGCTGAGGGTGAGGGGGCTGAGGGGTGAGAGGGCTGAGGGTGAGAGGGCTGAGGGTGAGGGGGCTGAGGGGTGAGAGGGCTGAGGGTGAGAGGGCTGAGGGTGAGGGGGCTGAGGGGTGAGAGGGCTGAGGGTGAGAGGGCTGAGGGGTGAGAGGGCTGAGGGTGAGAGGGCTGAGGGGTGAGAGGGCTGAGGGTGAGAGGGCTGAGGGGTGGGTGGGCTGAGGGTGAGGGGGCTGAGGGGTGAGAGGGCTGAGGGTGAGAGGGCTGAGGGGTGAGAGGGCTGAGGGTGAGAGGGCTGAGGGGTGAGAGGGCTGAGGGTGAGGGGGCTGAGGGGTAGGAGGGCTGAGGGTGAGAGGGCTGAGGGTGAGAGGGCTGAGGGTGAGGGGGCTGAGGGTGAGGGGGCTGAGGGGTGAGGGGGCTGAGGGGTGAGAGGGCTGAGGGGTGAGAGGGCTGAGGGTGAGAGGGCTGAGGGGTGAGAGGGCTGAGGGGTGAGAGGGCTGAGGGTGAGGGGGCTGAGGGTGAGGGGGCTGAGGGGTGAGAGGGCTGAGGGTGAGAGGGCTGAGGGGTGAGAGGGCTGAGGGTGAGAGGGCTGAGGGGTGAGAGGGCTGAGGGTGAGAGGGCTGAGGGTGAGAGGGATGAGGGGTGAGAGGGCTGAGGGTGAGAGGGCTGAGGGTGAGGGGGCTGAGGGTGAGGGGGCTGAGGGTGAGGGGGCTGAGGGGTGAGAGGGCTGAGGGTGAGAGGGCTGAGGGGTGGGAGGGCTGAGGGGTGAGAGGGCTGAGGGGTGAGAGGGCTGAGGGTGAGAGGGCTGAGGGTGAGGGGGCTGAGGGTGAGGGGGCTGAGGGTGAGGGGGCTGAGGGTGAGGGGGCTGAGGGTGAGAGGGCTGAAGGGTCAGAAGGCTGAGGGTGAGGGGGCTGAGGGTGAGAGGGCTGAGGGTGAGAGGGCTGAGGGGTGAGGAGGCTGAGGGTGAGAGGGCTGAGGGTGAGAGGGCTGAGGGGTGAGAAGGCTGAGGGTGAGAGGGCTGAGGGGTGGGTGGGCTGAGGGTGAGGGGGCTGAGGGTGAGAGGGCTGAGGGGTGAGAGGGCTGAGGGGTGAGAAGGCTGAGGGGTGGGAGGGCTGAGGGTGAGGGGGCTAAGGGGCTGAGGGTGAGGGGGCTGAGGGGTGAGAGGGCTGAGGGGTGAGAGGGCTGAGGGTGAGGGGGCTGAGGGTGAGAGGGCTGAGGGGTGAGAGGGCTGAGGGTGAGAGGGCTGAGGGGTGAGAGGGCTGAGGGGTGGGTGGGCTGAGGGTGAGAGGGCTGAGGGGTGAGAGGGCTGAGGGGTGGGTGGGCTGAGGGTTTGAGGGCTGAGGGGTGGGTGGGCTGAGGGTGAGAGGGCTGAGGGGTGAGAGGGCTGAGGGTGGGTGGGCTGAGGGTGAGAGAGCTGAGGGGTGGGAGGGCTGAGGGTGAGAGGGCTGAGGGGTGAGAAGGCTGAGGGTGGGTGGGCTGAGGGTGAGAGGGCTGACGGGTGAGAGGGCTGAGGGTGAGAGGGCTGAGGGGTGAGGAGGCTGAAGGGTCAGAAGGCTGAGGGTGAGGGGGCTGAGGGTGAGGGGGCTGAGGGGTGAGGGGGCTGAGGGTGAGGGGGCTGAGGGTGAGAGGGCTGAAGGGTCAGAATGCTGGGGGTGAGAGGGCTGAGGGGTGAGGGGGCTGAGGGTGAGGGGGCTGAGGGGTGAGGGGGCTGAGGGGTGAGAGGGCTGAGGGTGAGGGGGCTGAGGGGTGAGAGGGATGAGGGGTGGGTGGGCTGAGGGTGAGGGGGCTGAGGGGTGAGAGGGCTGAGGGTGAGGGGGCTGAGGATGAGGGGGCTGAGGGTGAGAGGGCTGAAGGGTCCGAAGGCTGAGGGTGAGGGGGCTGAGGGTGAGGGGGCTGAGGGTGAGAGGACTGAGGACCTGGGCAGAACCAGCTGCTCCTTGTCCCCCAGCAGTGACTCCTGCTCTCGCCCGGCCTGGGTTTCCACACCCACTGGGGAGCTGGTGCAAGTGGCCAGCTCCGGTGTGTCGCTGGGGAGAAAACCAAGGGGTGCATGCGGGAACTGCCTTCCCCCTGAGCCGGGGGCACAGAAACTGTCACCATAGTCCTGGGGGCCGGGGGCCGCCCTGAACCCTGATGCCGGCGAGGGGACTGTGAGGTCGGCGTGGCTGCTTTGCTGTGATGGGTGCTGGAGCAGCGGGTCAT